ATCCATTGCAAACTTTTGCTTGCAGAATGTGTCTGTCCTGTTCCTTTGCAGCACTGCACAGTCACTGAGCCCTATGAGAAATGGCAGCCAAGAGACGGAAAAGCACTTGCACTCCAATGGGGATGAGCTTATGTTGCCTTAGACATCGGTGCTTAAGAGAGGTGGAAGAGGGAACAAGCAGTCAGCAGTTTGTGGTAGAAGCTTGCCAAAACAGAAGCTTATCTCTGCTAGCTCAGTGGAGGTGCTGGGGCTCTGGCAGCCCACTACCTGGATGGCACTGCTCTGTGCAGCTGAAGGCTGCAGTTTGCTGTCGTTACAGGGAGCTGAAAAGGCACTTGGCAGGTTGTCCTTGCCTGCCCTAACCATTGTGTCAAGCCAGAGAAGTATTTCTTCCTGAACTTTGCATCAGTAGGTCTTGTCAGGGAGCTGTGGAGACAATCTCCAGGAGGCTGCATTTTCCACTGTGTTTGGTTTTGGACAGAGGATCTGCTTGGCTGTGACAGTTGCCAACTTATCTTTGTTATCTTAGACCTTACACTCCACCAGGAGAAATGATACAGCATCTCTATCTCACACCCCAGTGGTTCTTGCTCTCTTCTAACCTGCCCTCTCAGCTCTCCAGGGTAGCTAGCAGATGACTCCTGTGGTATTCAGACAATCACTGTTTTCTCTCTTCTTAGCTTTCTAACGATGAGGAGATCCACAATGTGGGCACATCGCTGACCTTTGGCTTTGGGACCTTGGCATGCTGGATCCAGTCTGCTCTCACTCTCAAGATCAACCTGAAGAATGAGGGACGGAAAGCTGGAATTCCACGAGTCGCCTTATCAGCTGGCATCACTCTCTGCGTGGTGCTCTGTATCCTTTTGTTGTGCGCTGTGGCACACCAGGTCCTGTCAGTGGCTGACTGCAGCAGGGAAGATTGGCTTTTACAGCCATCCTTGGAGCTCAGAGCATTTAGGAGCACTGCTCAGATTGTTGTCAAGGCACAAATCAGTGATCAGTTCGTTTTACTACCTCTGTTTTACAGGAGTGCACTACTTTTCTCATGGGCTACATGGGCTATACCCTCACTTCCCTCATAAATGTTTGTAAAATTTCTTCTTAGTGATTTCCAAAGTGGCTACAGTAAGAACAGAACAACATCTGTTTGATTTAATGGCTACCAGCAGGTTAGCATTTGTAATCATGCCAAAGACTAAGATTAAAAACGTGTTGAGAGCATAGAGGGATAGGGATGGTAATCAGGTGTCTAAAGATTGTATGCGTGCTCCAGGGTTCTACAGCCAGTCATCTGCTCTAACAGTGGCTGTGGCATTGAGGAGAGGAGCTGCTGGCTCTATTGACTTCTGGTAAGACTACATGTGTTACAAATGGGCTTTTGGTTGTGGAGTCTGCAGACACCCCAACCAGGTGTACATGGGGCTTTATGTTCATCCCTCGCTCAGCCCTTTTGTGCTCACTGGGGGGGCTGGGTTCAGTCACTGCTTAGTTGTGTCTATGTTAGTGCTGGGGTAAGTTAGAGGACAGGAAGAAATGGCTGGGAATAAGCTAATAAGTTATTTTGGGTAACAGCCCATTCTTGAAACAACTGTTTGTTTACCAATGAGGTTGTATGATCGTGTGTTTCTGGAGTGCAGAGGAAATTCTGAGAGACAGGAGAGCAGTAAGATTAGAGGGGGTGTGCAGAGAAGGTAGGAGTGTATAGTGGGAGCCCTCACAGCTTGCTGGCTCTGTCAGTGGCTGGTTTGATATTTAAGCAAGTCTTCTCCACACTTCTGTCTTAAGGTCTGTAAATGTTTATCAGTGGGAATTGGGACCAGAAGCCCTGACCAGCATAGAACAGCTGCTGCATTCCATAGGCAGTTCCCATCTTGTTAGATACCAGATGTCCCTTCCACCTCTGGCACCACACTCGCTCTTTATGATGGTAGCCAGGTTGATCATCATCCTGCTGATTCTGATTGTCAATATTTTATTGCCTGTCCTATTGGCTTTTTCCCCTCTTGGACAGCGTCTCTATTCCCACAAGCATTCCCAGAATGTTTTCCTTGACCTTCCTTTTCCAGATTTCATCCTGATGGCGCAAGGCATCCACATGTATGCTGCCAGGATCCAGTGGGGCCTGGTGATGTGTTTCCTGTGCTACTTTGGCACATTTGCTGTGGAGTTCAGGCACTACAGATTTGAGATAGTTTGTTCTGAGTACCAGGAAAACTTTCTGAGCTTTTCTGAAAGCTTGTCAGAAGCCTCTGAGTACCAGACAGATCAGGTGTAGCCTGTCCTTTGGCCAGGGGGAGGGGGGCAGGTGCAGTCCTGCGGTTAGACATGACCTCATTTACACTTTTTTTGATGAGTTTGTTTTCCACGTGCAATCATTGTCGTATTGCCAAAGGGCTCTGAGGGTGGTTGCCTCATTAAGGGCCAAACAAAAATAGCTGCCTGCTGGAAGAGGACTGGATCCTTCTGAACAGCAGTGCCGGGTAGCACAAGTTGTTCAGTTTGTGCTGTCAGAGACTCTTTCTCAGCAGCTCCATCTCACACCTGCTGTTCAAGATGTTTGGTAGCAGGTCCTCACAATGCCCCTCTGAGATAGGCACTGCTCTGCCTGTCCTATAGGGGAGGAAATGAAGGAAACAGACCTGTCTGGGCATAGTCTTCAACATTGCTGGTTCCTGAGTTGCTGGGCTGCACTTTTCGAATCTTTTTTGCATTGTTTTCTTTGCTGCTGATGGGAGTTACTTGGTAGGGTGAGAAGGAATGACTGTTTTTTCTGGACTTAAAACTGGACATTGGAAAACCCAAACTGACCAGCATTTACGAGCAGGTGGACGTTGCTTCCAGCCTGGAAAGCAACTGATGGCAAAGCTGGATCTGGGAGAAATCATGAGAGACTTGGCTGATGCTGCCTGGCAGCAGAGAGGACTGTGCCCACACCAGAGAACATGGCACAGGGGAGCACTGTGCTGGGCCTGGTGTTTCATGGGCTGCAATGGGGTCTGATGGAAGCCAGGTGCTGAATTAATAAGTGAATGCCTGTGTGCTCTAAAGATGACCCAGAAGAGTCTGCTCTTTTTAAATGTTTAGTGCTTCCACTACATATCACCTGTAGTATTTCAGTAACTTTTTGTTGTTCACAGAAGAGGTAAACATTGTGTTAGAGACACTGGACTTGCCTACAATGATAACAGTATAATTGCAGATGGGCTTTATGTGTGTAGGGTTTTTAGTTGGTTTTATTTGTTGGTGTGTTGCTCCTTATGCACTTGCAAGTCAAACTTCAGACACATTTTGTCCCTGCTTGCAATCCAGACTTCTCCCTTGGCCAGTTTTCCTGAATGGGCTTCCAAGGGGTGTGAAGGCTGGGGGACTTGGCTTAAGTCACCAAAAGCAGGAGTGGCTTTGCTGTGCACTCCCAGGGGAGCTTAAAGTGGAAATATAACAAAGAGAAACATTTCCTGCAGACAAAGGCTGTGGTTAAAGCCCATCTCTGAAAACAGAGTTTGGGAAGGCTGCTGGATCAGCCAGGTAGCGGGTGGATCACACTTGTTTCCCATTTTTCTAGGCAGGCTCATCTTGTGTTTGCCTCTCTGCCTGTGCTGACATGGGGCATCTCATCACCCCTGTGGGAAAAGAAGCAGAATTGAAAATGGTGGCAAGAGGTGTTTGCAGGGGAACTCCTACCACACTATAGTATTCCTGACAGAAAGGAAAAGGGCACAAGGGCATTCAGTGCTCTGAAAAAGGGCAGAGGCCTCTCCAGGAAGGACATATGATCAAGAAAGCTTTCTGTTAAAGGTAGTTGCCCTTTATGTGATCTTTCATGGCTCAGAACTTGTTTTTGGGAAGGAAGGTGCTGAGGCTGCGGGTTGGGGCACACCAGGTCATCTACAGCTCCACCAACAGTCCTGCACTATGTGGTGGGGGACAGGATGCAGGGGGACCCCTGACACAGGCACATGGTGGATGCATAGGGAGCATGAGCAGTGTTTTGTTTTAAGGGTGTTTTACTGTAAATAGTCCTCCTTTTTGGTTTTGTTTTGTTTTTTTTTTAAATCAATTTGGTTTATTGTTTTATACTTTGTAACAATTTTAACAAAGAAAAAGAAGGATGATGATTGTGACTTGATTTTCGTTTTCCTATATGCAATCCAAACTGAACTTCAGGTTTTTGGTAATAACTCTGTACATTTCTTACAGTATTTCTAACAGCACATTTCAGTACAACTAAACGACAACCACTATACACATGACCACTAAATAAAGTGCTTTTATGGAGAAAGTGAATTTTATTTTTGTCCCCTATCCCATGCACAGCTTTATGAGGGCAAACGCAGAACAGAAAATATTTACACTATCATGATACAAATTAACACTTAATGAAGCTGGGGATCATTCAGCCATGCAGGTACAGACTGTAGCAGTGCTAATTAGGCTCTTTCTCGGAGGTGGATCATGCTCTACACAGCCTGGAAAGGCATTCACATCAGCTGCCTCACAGCTGCCATCAAGTTTTAGAAGGGCAGTGCTGGCATGACGTGTTTACCTCCTCAGGTGCTTGTTCTCTACGCTGCTACTTCAACAGGAGAGCTGAAGATGTGCACCAGAGCTCAGGAAGGCAGCATGTGTGCTGGCAATCTGTTGTGGCCGTCTCATTACCAGAGCTGTGAGGGGCAAGTTCAAGCACAGCTGCACAGCAATTAGTAAGTAGTGGGTGATACTCTTGAGCTGAGTGCCAGTGACAGTGTGTCAGACCACCACTGTTATTGCTTGATTCAGCCTCCTGGCTTCCACCAAGTCCCTCGTCAAATCATGAGACAGACAGGGACATGATGCTGCTTCCTCAGCAAGACAGGCTTGTCTGTCCTAAAGAATGGACAGGGAGGGCAAAAGCAGGGAAAAAAAGTGGTTTTTTTTGTTTGTATTCTTAAATAGATTTGTCCTTTAGGTGCTGGGATCACTGGTGACAGGCAGCAAAGCTAAATACAGGGAACACGATGTAAACAAAGCTGTGGCTTTATTGACTATAGAAGGAAAAGCTCCATGACTGTTGCTATAGATTGGCATGGTTAAAGTAAGGCGGGTGAAAAGATCTCTGGTTTAACTCTCATTCAATGCAGCAGGATGTTTGGCAAGGTCTGCTCACAACTGACCAGCAACAGCTGGCTACTGAGGAGCTATGGTAGTTTGGGCAGAAATGCAGCCAAGCTGGCTGTGGTGTCAGCCTGTTGGATCCCGCAGACGCACATCACCTGGCAGCAACATGAGGTGGGTCCAGAATTCAATTTTTAAAGAACTTAATTCTTACTGTATGCTCTACTTCATTCTCGTGGGCTGGCAGTGTCACTGTAAGCAGTGTCAGCACACAAGTCATACTGTTTTGTACCTAGGACCTGCTGTAGGTGTAGCCAAGATTTAAGTCATTCTCTGTATATACAGCTTGCCTGCAGCAAGGACTAGCTGTCTGTGGCAGCCGTAATGTACTGCATTGGGAACCCCACACCATACTCTCCATCCATACCTGCATTGGCTGTGGGTCCAATACATGACGTGGGTTTGGTTTTACATTCTGGTCATGGACAAAATTACTTGAAGTTACACAAGGACGACTCAGGTGAAGCACAGCCTTCTGTGTGTGCATCACTTTCCTTAAGTGGAGGAAGGCAGGAAAAGTTCAGTGAAAGATGAGATGAGGCTGTAGTACGATTTCTCATCATCTGTCAGTCCTGCGTTACCAGGTCTGATGACCACAGCCACGTGAGTGTCCGCTTCTTCAGCTGCGTTTGCTTCTGAAACAAATAAGAAAGGGAGAGTGAAGATGTGGAGATGTGCTTTGTGATTTCACCACAGGAGGGCCCTTAAGGCTTGAACAGCCCCATAAAACGTGCTTTTAAAGGTTAAGACTGACAGAGCAGTGTTTGCAGCTGGTGCTGGCTGAAGTTAGCCAGCCCAACACCCTGCAACCCTGCAGCCAGTCCTCGTGAGCTCGCTTCTCACCCCAACCACAATAAGAGGCCCTGGGGCAGGCTCTGCAGGGACAAGGAGGTTACTGAAAGCTCTCACTAGAAGTGCTGCTTGAGCCGAGTAGGAGACTGAGGCTAACTCCTCAGACTAAGCTGGCTCAGACCAAGGTATCGGCCCATTTCTGTCAGAAGATGTTCCCAGGACGGGCAGTAAGAGGCTTCACCAATCTGGCTTCCTAGGAGTTGAGCCCTGAAGACCAGGATCAATGTTTTCCTGCTGCTGTGCAGCACAACCAACCACTGACCAACCATACCAAGCACAGCAGGCATCGCTGTTCCCAGGGGAAGCTGAGCGCAAGCCACAAAAACTCCTGACCCCGTTTGCAAATGGGGCACACCAACTGCTTCAGCAAATGATCCACTCTGCTTTAACACTCTCCTTGTTTCCTGGGGCAAGGACAGGTTTTCTGCTTGGCCTATTTTCCGTCACTGCACAGTGTCACACACAGATATCCCACTGCCCTGTGCAAGCCTGAACGCTTCAGGAAGAGGTACAGCAGTGACAAGTTAGGTGCCCTAGAAGCAAGGAGGTCTGCAGCATCACTGGATGGCTGTGACAAGTCCTGTGAGGCAGCAGGTCACTTACCTCGAGGGACATCAGTCAGGAAGAGAATGTTGTTAGTGTCACATCCTATACTTGCAGCAATCCTTCGGTAGCTCTCGCTTTCTACCTTGGGACCTATTTTGGTGTCAAAGTGGCCATCAAAGAGCTGAAAGACAGAGAAAGGCAAAGGCTGGACGCTATATGAGAAGCAGAGAGCTAAACTGCTGATAATCAAGGCTCCCACACTACCCTGCTTTCCCATCTGAGACTCTACTGACAAAATGTCACAACACAAACAGCCATAGGACGGGTCTGCTCTGTAGGTAGAGAAGCCATGAGGAAGATGGTAACGTTATCTACCTCTAGAATATCGCCTTCTGTAGAGTATCCAAACAGAAGCTTCTGGGCTTCAACACTGCCCGAAGAATAGATGTAGACCTTCATCCCAGCTTCCCTCCACTTCCGGATGGCTGGAACCACGTCCTCAAAGACTCTGCAGCAAAACAGGGCAGCAGGTAAGGCAGGCCCAGAGGCACTGGAGGATGCTTCCAGAGGGATGCGCTGCTTCTAGAGGGATCTATGCATCCCAGGAATCCCTCAGAAGGGCAGGGAAGAAGTAGGATGTAGCAGACGGATGGGGAGTGGTGCTGGAGGAATTCAGCTTTAACCCATGCTCAAAGAGCAGCCTTCCCTCCGGCACCGTGCAGCCATTGGGTCAAGACCTGAGAGTGCTGCCCCAAATAGACACAGGGCTCCCAACAGCCACATAGGGAAGTGTGGGACTGAGTTTTGTAGCCTTGTCGCAACCAGCTGGCCTCTTTATCTCCAGTTTCTCAGTCGTGTGCTCAGTGCTTTGTTACATTAGCTGTTTAACAAAAGAAAAAAGTAATTCAGTCATTTTATAGTGATTTACGTGTACGTGGAGTCAGCCAAAAATATTCTGAGTCTGCTGTATAGCACCTGCAAGGCCCACTCTTTGGATGCTGTCAAGCAGTATAGCTAAATCCACAGCGATTGGGCCACTGTAAGATAATTCTTCCTGTTTATAAGGCAGCAGATGGGAAGGCTGTCCTTCTTGACTTCTCTGTGGAGGCGCTGACCCTACCTACATCTGTATGTGAGTTCAGGGCCCAATGCAGCCCCTCTCCTGCTGGATACCAGGAACAGGGCACCTTGTGCCTGTTCCTTCACCATTACTCACTCTCCCTTCACCAGCCCCGTGGCATAGGCCGCTCTCCACATGTGTCCCTGCAGCTGCTTCAGCGCCGTGGTCTTCCTGTCCAGAGCCATCTGCCAGTGCACGTTGTCCACTACTGCCCGGATGACACGCTCCAGCTCCTCATCCCCACTGCCACTTTCCAATGGGATCGGCACTGCTCCGTCCAGGCCTGAGTCCTCCTGGGCCTGGGGACGGGGAAAGTGAAGGACAAGGACAGACAAGGAGCCTCAGAGTGACCCAATGCCACGAGGTGCCCTCACCTGCTGCCTCAGGAGCCCCACGTCCCGCTGGCACTCCTCCTCCTCCCAGTGCGCACGCAGGTACTGCTCCACGTTGTCTCTGATGTAGGGGAACAGTGTCTCCTGGCAGCACACGCAGACATGAATATGGCAGCTCAGAAACCAAAAGCAGAGAAATGCTGAAAGAGCTTTAAAACCTTCATCCGAGTGCCGGTGGTGGGGTGGGAGCAAGCAGGGCAGCGCTGGCATTGTGGCCACTGAGAGCAGTGGGGCCACCATCATCACTTAAAAAAACCCCACTAAAATCTGGAAACGCCACCAAAGCCCCTCTAACCTACTGAACTGTCTAAAATTACCAAAATTGTTAAAAACTACCATAATCGTTGAGAGCCACGCAAATCCTTAAAGATTACCGGAGTCCCTGGAACCCTCTGAAATCCCCAAAACCACCTTGAAATCCACTATCCTCACTTAGGATTATCAGAATCGCTAAGACCCATCGATGAAAGCCATCATAGTCGATAAAAACCTACCAAAATACTTAAAATGATACAAGCGCAATAAAATAACCCCTCAAACAGCCGCCCACCATAAAACCATCAAAATACCTAAACCCACCCCAAACCCACCGGTACAGCTAAAATCACCAAAACCCACGCAATCACAAGAACCCCTCGAGCCCACCAACGTTCCTAAAACCCGCGGTCATTCCCGGAGCCCACCCAATCACCAACGTTGCTAAAAACCGAATGTGAAAACCACTCACATCATCCAAATCCCTGAACCCCCCCCCCCCCCCCCTCAAAACCCAAATCTCTCCCGTCTCCGCCCGGGGCCGCGCACCTGCACGAAGGCGATGGGGGTGGTGGTGCCCTCCACGTCCAGCAGGATGGCGCGCACCCCCGCCGGCACCGGCAGCACGCCCATGGCGGCAGCCAGCGGAGAGCGCGGGAGGCGCCGCCGCAGGGGGGCGCTGCAGCATTCCCCGGGAGGCGCTGATTGGCTGCCGTCGCCTCTATATAAGGGCGGCGCAGGCGGTGCCCGGATCTCTTCCGCCGCCATTTTCTAGCTCGCGCGGGTCTCAGTCGCTGTGCGCTCTTAGCCGCCCCGCCATGGAGGACGCCACCGAGATGAGCGGCGGCGCGGAGGAGTTCGCCGAAGGTTCCAAGATCAACGCCAGCAAGAACCAGCAGGACGACGGGTAGGCTGCGAGACAGAGTAGCGCCCGCACCCCCCCCACCCCCCCATCTCTGCCTGCCGCGTGGGGGAGGGGGGGGTCGTCGCAGGGAGGGGGCGGGGCCTAGCGGAGGGGGCGGGGCCGCCTTTGTGTCCCGCGCGGTTGACCCAGTTGGCGCGGGGCGGGGCGGCGGGCGGTGGTCACGCGGCGTGGCGTCAGCAGCGGGGGCGGGGCTTCCCCGCGCTTCGCGCCCCGCCCACACGTGCCGCTGCCTCGCAGGAAAATGTTCATCGGCGGCCTGAGCTGGGACACGAGCAAGAAAGACCTGACCGAGTATCTGTCCCGTTTTGGAGAGGTTGTGGACTGCACGATTAAAACCGACCCGGTGACCGGGAGGTCGCGGGGCTTCGGGTTCGTGCTTTTCAAGGACGCTGCCAGCGTGGAGAAGGTGCGTGGATGGGCCTCGTGTCGGGGGGGGGAGTAAGGGCTGTGCGTGGGCCTCCGGTCGTTTGCTGTGTGCTATGCGCATCTGCCTCAGCACTCTGAGGGCTTCAATCTGTGCTTTCCAGGTGCTGGAGCTGAAGGAGCACAAGCTGGATGGAAAGCTGATCGATCCCAAGAGGGCGAAAGCCCTCAAGGGGAAAGAGCCACCCAAGAAGGTGTTTGTTGGTGGGCTAAGCCCGGATACCTCTGAAGAGCAGATCAAGGAGTACTTTGGTGCTTTTGGAGAGGTGAGCTGTGGCCTCGTGTAAGATAAATGCCATTTTCCAAGGGAGTATTGCCTGAGTTGGACTTCTGTGGAGCTAGAGGTTGTTAAAACACAGTTTGTTAACAGCTCTGTGCTGCTGGAGCGGGATGACTTGTTAGTGTCAGAAGTTCTGAAAGCTGCACCGTCCTGTGAGTGGATGAGCTAAGAGAATCATAACACCGTTACAGTTGGATAAGATCTCTATGATCACTAAGTCCAGCCCATGCTCGTGATGCTCACTAACCATGTCCCTCAGTACCACTAATCCACTGTTCCTGAACACCTTTGGGGACGATGACTGCACCCCTATGGGCAGCCTGTGACAATGCCTTGCTGCTCTTTCAAAGAAGAAATTCTTTATAATGTCCAATCTCATGTATGTCCCTGTGGCTGGATGTCCATAGCAAATGGTCCTGACTCTGTCAAAGTAATATTGCAACTCCAAGTAGAATGTGCTGTAAATGCAAACAGTGAAATGTGCATTGAGAGATGTTGGCACAGGTTGTGTATTGATCTTCACGCATCATTGGTACCTACTTCTTATTGCAGATTGAAAACATTGAGCTTCCCATGGACACAAAGACAAATGAAAGGAGGGGCTTCTGCTTTATCACATACACAGATGAAGAGCCAGTGAAGAAGTTACTAGAAAGCAGATACCATCAGATTGGTTCAGGCAAGGTAGTGATGCTTTCTCACTAGTATGTGGAATAGGCAGCCTGTCTGCTTCCATGAAGGCAGCCGACAGAACGGTCCTGTAATTCTTCACAAGTTAAAGGTTTTTTGTCTTAACAGTGTGAGATCAAAGTAGCGCAGCCCAAAGAGGTGTACAGGCAACAGCAGCAGCAACAGAAAGGAGGAAAAAGCAATGCGTCTGGTGGACGAGGCGGTGGAAGGGGACGTGGACGGGGTGAGTGCTCTGGTTATTGGGATTTGTGTAAAAGTATTGAAGGTGTCTGAAGCTGTTTCAGGTTGCATGTGGGACTTTATATGTGTGTATATATATATATATATATATATATATAAGAATTAGTTTAAAAAGAATTATTTTCTTGAATGCAATAAGTTCAACTTTGATTCTTGTGATAAATCTTGGAAGTTAAAGAATCCCAGCTTGCATTCAAGTGTTCAGATGACAAATAAAATGTAGATTGTTTTTGTAGACCTGTAGTTCAGTGCATAATAAAATGTCCGGTGTGGTCGTGTAGTTTTGTTGTTATTTATCTTTTTGTGTGAGGGGATGTTGGCTTGCTTGTGGGTGAGAAGTCATGAGCCACTGGCTAAAGAGATGGTCACTTGTCAACACCTTGCAAAGAGGCCAGCAGTTATCACAGGTTAATGCGTGTCAGGATTTACAAAGTCAAGCAGCCACAACTAAGATGATTCATCTGATCTTGTGTTATAACCTTGTTCATGTAATGAACGATTTAAAAATGGAAGTTGGGAAAACTACAGGAGCTGTGGTTGTGCATGCTTTTGGTCTTTCCTCCTGGATGGCAGGAATTGGTGTGTTCTTTCATCTAATGTTATTTTGAGTGATTGGATCTTTCAGGCCATCACTGATAGCCAAATGAGATGGATCAATTAGTTTAGCAAATTAGTTCTCATGGGTTTCTGTGGGAAGTAGGGTTCTTACAAGTAGTAGATTTTGGAAGAGAAAACTTACAGCTAAATGAAGTGGTACGTGAAGACTGAGGTAGTCACAGAACTTGCTATTAAATGCTCTGCCTGGTTTCAGGTCAGGGTCAAAACTGGAATCAAGGATTTAATAACTATTACGATCAAGGATATGGGAACTACAATAGTGCTTACAGTGATCAAAGCTACAGTGGCTATGGAGGATATGACTATTCTGGGTACAACTATCCCAATTACGGATATGGACCGGGATACACAGATTACAGTGGTGAGTGATTTTGATCTTCGAGATCATTTGTGCTTCTTCAAACAGGGCCTCATACGCTGTTCTGCAGCAGCTCTTTCTTGTAAGGCGTGCCTTGAAAAAGCCATTTTTGGGGGGGTGATGTTCTGCATGAGAGGACTTAAGAAGGATGAGTAGATTGTTTATTTCAATGCTTTTGGTGTGTTTTTCTTTTTTCCTGCCGTGTTGCCAACAGGCCAACAAAGCACATACGGAAAGGCGTCCCGTGGTGGCGGCAATCACCAAAACAACTACCAGCCATACTAAAGCTGTTCCTTGTCCTTGAGGAAACAGGTGTGTACATGAACGCGAGGTTCACTCAAAGTATGCTAATCTAATTTAAAGATCAATAGACAAGTGAGTAAAACCTTGTGTAGTGTGACTTTTTTCTTTAATTAAACTTTTGTTAACTTAAAAATATCTTTTTTTTTTTAAAACCAGCTTTGCCTACCGTGTCTATAGATCTTTAACTTTTGTAAAAACGTGACTTTATCTTCTTTAGTACTTCAGAAAAACATAAGAGTTTTTCTGTTTTGCGTTGTGTACCAGGTGATCTAGAGGAATAATTAAACTTATTAGAAGTATTAACAGGTAAAGTACTGAAATGGGTACAACTTAAGGAAAACAAG